TTAAGGCTGACCTTGAACTCCCCAAGAGGTTCCTGCCTCAGCCTCTCGGGTGCTAAGATTATAGACATGCATCACCACACCCAGCTATTTATTCTTTCCTTTTTTTTTTTTTTTTGGTACCGGGAATCGAACTCAGGACCTTGCGCTTGCCAGGCAGGCGCTTATGCCACTGAGCTATACCCACGGCCTTTTTTTTGTTTTGTTTTGTTTTTTTGAGACAGTGTTTCCCTATGTAGTTCATGCTGGGCCTCCCGAGTGCTCTGCCAGCGGGACTTCTATAAAAGAGCATGTTTTATAAATAAATAGTGTAAAACTGTATAGTTGCTACCGAAAGGCTGAAAAATGAAGAGGGGGGGTGCATACAGGGGTAATCTCGGTGGCCTTCATGTAAGAGGTAGGGTGGGAGTTTTTTGCCAGGAGGAACACGAATTGAGATGAAAGACCCGGATCTCTTTCCAGTAAGGATCTGCAAAGTAAGATCCTAACCCAAGAAAGAGGTAGTCCAAATGCAAAATGTTTTTGCTAGGTATGAATGATTATATAATCATAGTAAAATAACCCAGCACTGTGGAAAAGCAGGAAGGATGTCTGCAAATCCTGGGGTAAGCTTTTCGAACCCTGCCGCCTGTTCTTGGCTTTCCTAGGAACCACAAGAGCTGCACCTGGCCCCATGGTCCGGCAGAGCAGCTTTTCTCAGTGTAATATCCTGCCAGTCTCCTTCTGTCTTTAGTGGCCACGGGACAGAAACCCGCCATCCAACCCCTTCTCAGGCCCTGTAGAGCCTCCGATGCTCTACAGGCCCCCCAATGGCTCTGCCCTAAATTGACTGATTTAAGGGAACGGGTCCCACGATCTCAGCTTCGGTCCTGAACGAGGCTCACAGTGCAGCCCAAAGAGCGCAGAAAGCTCCGAGCAAGCCCTGCGGGAACTAAGACCGCGCTGCTCGCCCCGTCCCGTGTGCGTCTCCCTCCTCTGGGCCATTGCCTGAGCCCACAGGTCTTCTTTCCCTTACGCCCTGGAGCCCGCTCTGGCCATCCGCTAGATTTAGGTCAAAAAACAGACACTAGCAACTCTCCCTCGCCTCAGTGAAATTACTAAGTGGAATTTATTGGGCAAGTCCATGCGGGGCGGTGGGGAGAGCCCATGGCCCGGGCACGGGCCCCCGGCAGCTTTCGAAGCGCAAGCACGAGCCGGGGCACAGGGTGCGGGTGCCCAGAAGTCGGGCCCGCCAGCCCCACCCTTTGAGCCGTGGCTCGTCCCCAAGGCTGCCGGACCGGAGTGGCCGCGCGGACTCCGTTCCCCAGCCGGCCCTTCGCTTTCACACGATCCGCGGTGACTGCACCAGCTCGAGCGCTTTTAAAGGGCCACACACGCCAGCCGCCGCTATAAAATGTTCCCAGCGGCACAGCTGCAGAAGGGGCACCGCTGAGCTGAGGAGAGGAGGCGTGTTCCGCCCGCTCTCCTCCCACAGCCCGGCGGCAAGCGGCCGCTCCCGGCGAAGGGAAAGAGGGCTGAGGAAGGCGCAACACCCCCTCGGGCCCTGCGTGAGTATCCAGTTCAGATTTTGCCACCAACTCGCCCACGAGCCAGGACATGTGCTAATAATGCCCTAAGCCGGTTATAAAGACGTGGAAATAGGGGGGGGGACGGAGAGACGGGAGGAGGGTCTGTCCTTCCCGGGATTCCTGGCCGAGGCCAGCCTGCTGCCGTGTATGTCAGGGCTCTCCGGGGGGCAATGGGCGCTTGAGAGCCGGGTCCCTCGCACAGCGAAGGGAGCGCGGTGGCTGTCGCCGCCACCGCCCAAGAGTCCTGTGCAGAAGCTGCGGGCGAGCGGGCTCGGTGTGATGCGTCCGGGCGGGCCGGGGAGCGGGCGCGGGCCGGGGCGGGTGGTAGGCAGGACGCGGACAGACGGAAGAACAGCCCGCAATTCCAGTCTGCTCCGGATTAGAACTGACAGTTTTTGTTTGTTTGTTTTTTGAGACAAGGTCCCGCTGTATAGTTCAGGCTGCCCCCGATCTCACTGTGTAGCCCAGCTGGCCTCGAATTTGCGGCGATCTTTCTGCCTCAGCCTCCTGAGTGCTATACAGGCGTGCGCCACCACTCCCGGTTTGAGAGGGTTTTTTAAAAAATTATTTTTCAGGGGCTGGGGATTTAGCTCAGCGGCACAGCGCCTGTCTGGCAAGCGCGAGGTTGTGAGTTCGATTCCCGGTACCGGAACCCCCCCCTCCGCAATTGTTTTTCAGTGAGGGGTTTGGACTTGAGTTATGCTGTAAGTTGGTGGTCTTAGTGGAAATAGAGAGTATAAATGTATGGAGGAACTTTGAGGAAAGGTAATGAACTTGGTTTTGAACAAGTTCCATTTGAGGTTTTAGTTTTTGTTTTTTAAAGATCATGACTGGAAATTTGGGTCTGAAAATTGGGAGAAAGGTTATAAATTTGAGTCGGCAAAATATGTGTGGATATTTGAAGCCGTAGTGTGCGATGGTAATACTGAAAGAAGAGAAGAAAAGGGCCGCGGACCAGAAGGACCGGCATTGTTTGAAGGATAATAGACACCGAAAAAGAGCAGTTAGAGGGATGGGACGTGGACTAGAACAGAATGGCATTATTACAGAAGCCAAAGCAAGAAAGAGTGTCAAGAAGGGAGGGTAGCCAGACATGGTGGCGCAGGCCTGTAACCCCAGATTCTTGGGAGGTTGAGGCAGGAGGGTTGCAAGTTTGAGGTCAGCCTAGGCAATTTAGCAAGGCCCTGTTTCGAAAGGGATTGTGGGGTTGGGGATGTAACTCGGTGGCAGAGCACCGGCCTAGCATTTGCAAGACCCTGTGTTCAGTCCCCAGGACTGAAATAAACAGGGAGGGCAGGTTAGGTAAGGAGGTGGTCAGTGTCACGTGGTCCGGAGGTCAAGTAGAATGAGGTTAGAAAGAAGCTACTGCATTTAGCAGTTAGGAAGTCACTTGTTTCCTTTGGAAGGCAGTTGTGACAGTGTCGTGGTGGCAGTGATGCAGTAGTCAGATCATGGATTGAGGTGTAAATGGAAGGCAGCAGACTGGTTGTGAAGGAGAGATGGTGATAGTGCAGCTTGTCTTTGTTGGGACTGTACTGCATATCTGGTACCATAAAGATGCTTCACAGCTTACAGCTGTTCGAGGTAGGTGTCTTAGGTGTTGCTATCCCTCCTGTATACAGTTGGACAGACTGGGTCTAGAGATGTATC